AGCAAAGATGTCTCACAGCTATGGTGCCTTCTGTAGGCAGATACATATTCGGACAATATGTTTTGGTAAAAGTCGCCCATTTGAGCTGAAAGCAGCCTCTTGAAAACATCATTGAGCACAGGTAAAACAGTCACTGGGCGATAATTGCTTTTGTTCAGTTCATCATCCTTTTTAAAGAAAGGAGTAACTTGACCTAATTTCCAGTGTGACGGATACTGTCCTGTCCTGATCGAGTGATTCATTATTGCAGCAATAGGACCAGCAATCGTGTTGGCAGACTCTTTTACCAGTTGCAGTGGTATTCTGTCATGACCACAGGATTTGCAGGAGTTGATTTTGAGTAACAAAGCTTCCACTTGGGTTTTATTAGTACCATAGTTATTCGGTTATAAGGCGCACGGTTTTTTCAAGAAAAATCTGTCTTTAGGTGGCAAATTAGTTCTAAAATTGGGGTGCGTCTTATAGCGAAGTATTTTCGCACAACAAAATCTTAAGATCACAATTTGAGAAGAACTTACAGTTTAAAAAACACCAGAAAAGGACACTAGTTGTTGGTCATTGACTTTTATAGATTTGGTGGTTCTGAAAAGAACCGGGGTGGCTCTGAAAAGAGCCGTTGAGGTGGTTGTTGTGTTGTTTGTCTTGTCGCCTAGTCTTCCTGCTCGCTGTCCGTGTCGAACTCGTTCTCTAACTCGTCGTCTGCTTCATCAGCTCCAGCCCCTTCCTCTTCCCACACAGCTTCATCCTCGGTGCCATCCAGAGCGTTCGAAATTCCAGAGGACTTGAAGGAGTTGGCAACTAAATCGGCGGATATCTCTTGCCAAGCTTTGTGGATCCACTGCAAAACAAGTTCCTTACTCGGCGCTCGCTTTTTCCCAGACGGAGTGTAAGTAAACGGACCGTTTACCATCCAAGCCTGATACTGGGAGCGTACCTTGTTCTTAAACGGCTTGTTAATGCATTTGTCAAGGGGCTGCAACACGGGTGTAAGTCCGCCAGGGATAACAGTGACGTCAACAATTCGTCTGGCCAGAAGATCTTTCACGGCCTCCGTTAAGTGACCATGATTGTGATGTTGTCCTTGACAACATCACAATCGTTCGAACCTCGTTTTGAATTCCGATAATCGTGTCGCTCACTCGAAAAGTGTCTTCTCTGAAATAAGCATTGTGGAGGAAAAAACATACCTTCTTCGTCCATCCAGCCTTTCTTGTGTACTTAAATCTGCATCCTTGGTGGCGTGTTGATATTCAGTTGTCAAACACTTTTGAAAATGACTTTTGGTTGGAGTTTTTCACCGTTCGCTTTCACGGCCAGAGCAACCGTGAAACTCTGCTTGTCGGCTCCGCAGGACAACACTGAGACTATTCTCCTCCCGGTAAACTCCAAGGCTTTGGTGGCCTGCAGCTCAAACCGCATTGGCATTTCGTCCATATTGAGGATACGACTCAAATCGTAGCCCCAGCGCTGGCGAGATCTCAGGACGAATCGATGAAACTCGGCGACCTTGTCTTCCATGTTGGCTGGGAGAAGTTGAGCAAGACTGGTCTTTGCTCTCATGGAGATGGAGTGACGACGCTTCCAGTTAGAGTACCAGCCAAGGGACGCTTTAAACTCGGGATTGGTGCTGAGTTCTTTGGCCTTCACTCAAAGCATCATGCCGTTGACTGACAGACCTGTGTAACAAGGAAAACAAATTTCAGTTTAGTTATTGAAACTATGAATGTAAACATCGAAATGATCGCGGTTCTCAACACGTTTACAACAATTCACTAGTGAAAATCTGCAGTGCTTACCTTGAGTTCGTTGATCGCTGAACCAGTCGGCTAACTGCTGATCCAACTCAGGATCCTTCGGTCGATAGCGTCCCATTGATGCACGCTGTGCTGTCATCCGCAGCTCACCGGAAAACAGGACACGTTGATTACGCCATTTTCTCACCATGGATTCGGAAATGCCATATTCACAGGCAATTTCACGATTGTTGTTGACTGCCTCGGCTTCTTCTTCTATGAGTGATGGCGAGTGCTTGGCATATTAACGATTGAACAAGAAGTTGAAGTTGAACTCTGACTGTTTACGATGCGAATGTATCAGTAAGTTTTGCAACTGAGTTTTAAATCAGGTGATTGATGTTTTTATAAGACAAAATCGGATCACTGAATAGTTTATCATTACAGGTGTGAACTTTCAGCATTTGTTTTCACGTATATCATTAAATGTGTGACTTTTTCACTTTTGTTTACGTTAACAAAGAGAGTTCGCATGCCAATTGTGTAAGGATAATTGTTGTCAGATTCATCAAATCCTTTTGTTAACTCTCAACTTTTCGGTGCGTCTTATAACCGAGTATTTTCACGTAATTTTCAGTTTGAGAACTCAACTCAATTAAATTGCTAAGTTTGGGGTGCGTCTTATAACCGAGTGCGCCTTATAACCGAATAACTGCGGTATACTGAAAAGCAAGTTTGTTTCTCCCAGTGAGCTGTTCATTGTTGTTGAAAATCGCCTGAATGCTAGGATGCGCATCCAACTCTATTCCATAACTCTGTTCAGTAATCTGTGGCACGCCGTCCGTGATGTTGACAAAATAACTATTAAAAAGCTCTGCCATTTGTTTTTTGTCTGTTATCACGACATCGTGTTCTTTTAATATTATGTCATTTGCTTGTGTGCTTTTCCTTGAATCATAGTTAGTAGAGGGGGGACTTGTTAGGAAACTCGGTAAACTTCAAAGGCTAAAACAATAGTGGCCTCTCAGATGTTGAACCGACCCGTCACGTGACACTGACCCTGCACACGGCAAAACAAGATGGCGGGTCGAAGGAGCGATCTTTATGTCTTTGGAGAAGACTTCATTGCTATCATGGATATCCTGGAAGAAGACGAAGACTTAGATGGACAGTTTGAAAGCTTAGTAAGCGATGTGAGTATGGAATTACAAAAATATCTGCTTTTTCAGCTGCATCATAGTAAAATCTTATCCTACATGTATAAGTTGCCCATGAGGACGCTTCTGAGTTTGTGTCTTGTTTATCCGTATTAATAATTCTATAGACATGGATTCTTTCGAAATAAATGTTCTAGCAATGGAAGAGACTAAAAGAACTCATGCTAGCCTATGTCTATGAACAGCTGTTGCGAAGCTTAGTTATTACAGCGTTGTTTGTAATGAATGTCTTAATATCCAAACGAACTTGTGATATTTCACATCAGGCAATGCTGTTTTATCTAAACATTTTACAGTAGCCTATCCTTATTTATTGTTTTCCCGTGCCATTGTAGGTTCAATCGACGGAAATTATATGTAGTGACTGTGGTAAAAAATACAAGTCCAGTGGAGGATACCGAAGACACAGAAATGCCAAACACAGTGATCAGCCCCAACCAGTGTCTCTGACACCGAGCATTCTTGCTGAAATTGTGAATGATGCCTTGCAAAAAGTTAAAGAAAACAAAGTATTCAGTGTTGACTTGCGGAAGGAATTTAAACGCTATGAATATAAACAGCCCAATGAAACTGAGGGATTTTGTGTGTTTAAAACACTGTATGATGGATACTTGAAAAATGGAGACACTGAAAAGTTTTATGGAAAATATTATTCTCAGGTTCCATTGAAATCTACAACCTTTTTCAGAGGGTTATCCAGAAATGCAGCTACATTGCTAGCAATTAAAGTGGCCGACAACATGGTAGCACATGGCAAGCATGCAAAGTCATCTCCTGACAACAGCGTCCTTCCATCTAAAACAGTCTTATCAAACAAAGAGACAGCGGGGTTGCAGTATTTGGGAGGATACGTATTGCACAATCTTCACAAAAAGTGTGCAAAAATGTCTTCAAGTGAAAGTCAGCAGGCAATGGCTATACTCAAGGCTGGAAAATTGGAGGAGGGCTGTGATTCCCAAAAGCTGGTTTCCACACTGAGCCGCGGTGGTCTCTGGTCCATAACAGAGCCTGCACAAAAGATCTTTATTCTATCTATCATTATTTCAGACAGTCAACTTTAAAATCTGCTAATAGTATGCAAATTGTGGACATAACTGGGATAGCTCAGAAGTCATTAACAGATAATGATGTGGTTGCAAACTACCAAACCATGGTCTCAAATGCTGAACTAGTTCCCACTAAAAATGTCAGTAAAGATGTCCTGTACAGTATTGTAAATTTGTACATCAGGGTTCGCTCATTCTCTTTAGCCAAGGATATTATACAAGACTTCAAAATTAAAGCAAAGCAGGCTAAAAGCAAGGCTCTTCGGAAAGAAATCCAAAGAAGTTGTGACCAGCAAACTCGAGAGAGGCAAAACTAGAATAATTCATGAGGAATGTTTACTGTTATTTTCATGATGATATATCAGGTTATTGTACATATCAGTTGACAATTTAAGCAATATTAATAACTTCATTGTAATTTTCAACCCAAACTGCTGTTTCATTTTGCTGGATGTTTCACAGGTTGGTTTTGCCCTTCTTTGCTTAAGAAAAAAAATTTAAAATTTTCTATGCCTGCAATGATCATAAAACTTCACAAGAAATGCTATTTATGGTCCACATTCATTGCTAATTGAAATATTTAATATAGGTCTGTCAATTGCCCCTTTTTGTATGAAGGAGTTTGTTTTGCAATCAAATGCCAATACTACAACTAAAGTAACTCAAAGGTTGAAGCACAGTCAAAGTTTTGGTTTTTTCCGGCATGGCAAGGGCTCATCAGTGATTTGTTCCCATGCTCTGCGTTTGTCTTTCTGGCCTTGGGTGTTTCCACTTTGACAGGAGACTGTTCTCTGAATTCTGAGGGTGTTGGCATTGTACCCAAATGCATGGATGTCAGGATTGTCACTACGCCTCTTGAGTTTACGCTGATTGCCAAAGTATTCTTCCAGTGGGTCTTGACAAAACCGTTCAGTGAGCATGAACTCTGTACCTTCCTGGAGAAGAAACTTGGTGGCCTCAATAGCTGAATGCGCCGTCATCTTGATGCCCTTGTGTGTCTGCCAGGACAGGAACATACAGTTTCTTGCGTTCTGGGTGAAGTTCCCTGGTCTGGTCTCGGTACTTTCTTTCCACAGCCTTAGATACTCCAGGAAGTTGATGAGGAACTGGAACCTAGCATTAAAAAAAGAATAGTGATGAAAGTTTCTTATAAGTTTTACTAAAGGACGCTCCCGCTAAAAAGGGGCAAATTTACGCCTTTCGCAACTGGGTATGACAAGCAATTTTCCCTGTCACAAATATTTACTTAGTAGGCTTGTTAAGTTAATTATGAACCAAAACTGCTTGCTACACCAGTTTATTTTAATTATTTTTAACACTAGAAGCAGACTAAGCCAAATCGATTAACAATAACAGATTACACTTTTTATGATTATCCAATCAGCACACCTTAAATCTACCGCAAGGATAATTGTTTCTTAACCACTAAAAACATCAATACATTTGTCTGAATGAAGAGGCTCATTGGATAATCAAACAAGAAATATGTGCAAAAAAAAGTCAAATGTTCATGGTTAGTGTCCTCACTGTAATAGTATTAATTTTAGGAATAATCTAAAGGGTGATTAAACTGCTTCTGTTGAAATCTGTTTAAAAAGTCTGACTTATACCTATAGCCCTCTGTGGCATTTTTTCTCTCACTTTAACACTCTATGCTAATGCAAGTTTTAAAAGTGACCAAATCATATTTTCTCCTCACATTATTTTGTTGTAATAGTAATACGTGTACACCATGAAGCTAATGTGAATTAATAAATGCTCATCCGAAGGGGGATTAGTGCAATACTTTTATTAAGTCTCCGAAATGATACAATGAAAAAATGTATGGCAGGATACAATATCATTAGATATGACATCAGACATACCTCTCGTCATTACCAGATCTGTATGGTGCAAGGAATGGCTTACGCTTCCTTTGATGCTCCGTAATGCTGCGCACGTTGAGACAATCAAATCAAAGTGCTCTGTGAGCAAACTCGTGAATTGACACATGATTTTGACACATGATGTTTAATGTTATCTGGTTTAGGAAATTTGGTGGTTGATTGTCATATCTAGAGTACGAGCAGTAGTTCAGTATTCGCTAATGTAGCAAAGAAACAAAGTAACGTTGGGATAAGAAGGCATTACAATTGAAATGATCATGCTATTGCATTTGACAAGGTGGATGATGTCATGTGTTTTCTATCATTTTTGTTTCTGGTTCAAAAGAAAAGGTTGGAAGTAAATGTGGGTGAAAAGTGAAATTTACTGTCTTTCATTGTAAATATTAGAAAATCAAGGCAATACTGTCTTAATGAAAACATTAACGATTCCCTCTTTATCAAATCAGACAAACTGGAACGAGTTTTGAGTGATATAACTAAGCCAAGCCTGCCACCGTCATTTTGGATCTCCGCCTGGGTAGATTTAAGTCACGTGCTAGGCAACGTATAATCAATAACAAGATAGAATTTCATTTCAGGCCTATTTATCAATTTTTTGGTGTGTAACTTTCGCATTTTAGTACGTTGTATGTATGTTGAATCTTCAAATTGTCTTGAAACTTAAAAGAAAATTGTTCTTTAAAAATTCTCTGAAAATCGGTAGCTAAAATTGTTTGTTTAGGTGTTATCTGATTTTCGTGTTAACTTGTAATTTCGTCAGTTGCCGGCATCTTTTGTTGCTTCACACAGGAAAAACACACGCGACGAAACATAATGATCAATTTTGTCCTCAATCTCACGCCATAACAGAAAAAGCTTTTGAACATCTGTAAACTCCGAGCGCTTCGCAGTAAGTAATATTTTCAATGAATCTTTGGATTGTTTTCGAGTTCAAGAATTGTAAATTACAATTTTATGAGAAACGAAGGTTGTTCTGTTATTTCAGTGTGAATCCTTGCATGCCTGCCAGTAGCTGGCGCCGCTTGTTGAAACTAAAACGAAAAATAAAACTCTTTTAAGATTATCGTTGGCTTCTTTTTCACCCCACCACTATTCTTAGCAACAAAGGTCGCCATTTCTTCTGTTTACTGTTCGCTAAAAACTATCAAATGCACTCAAAAGCCTAAAATCTAAAAAAAGTTTACAGGAATCGAACAATTGAGCGAGCGAGTGAGCGAGCGAGCAATTGCCATTCCCCACATGGTATCTATAACTCGCTCTTGCGCATGCGCGCAATTGACGAGTTAAAAAGGCGTCCATTTTTTCACAGAGTTGAGCAGTTTCCACTGCCTTGGGAGGCCCAATTTTCTTCAGCACTGCAGCCACTGATGCACTGAGCACTTGTGCAGCAAGGTTTACCCGCATGACTGAATAGGAAGTGAGATGGATGTGGTCATATGTGAGCTTTGGTACAAGTTTCAACCCATTGTCAATGTCCTGGTAGAACAGTTGCGATATATGCTGCCACAAAATGTAATTCCCATTGTTCCACATGTAACGGGTACAAGTGCCAGACCCTGAGTGCAGTAAACAGTTTCTGGTGGTCTTAACCAAATGTGGAGCATCTGAGAAAAAATACAGAAACCGATGTGGTGCGAACAGATTAACTGTGCGATAGCACACATCCGTGTCTGCGCCTCCATCCAGTGGCTTGTGAAGGCGGTAGAATCGTTGGTTTGGTGATGCCCCATCAGAAGTGGCCCCAATGACCCAAAGATTGCAGGTTGTCTCAAGAATGCCAACTGCTTCCCAGAAAAGAGGCATTAACTGAGATGCAGTGACTCCTGTTGTTGCAAAATGAGCCAAGCAGAATTTAAGCTCTGTGCACACCCCACCCACCAGGAATGCTAAGGCATGTGTGGCAAGCTCATTGACTTTTTCTAGTGACCCATAATTTAAGTCTGGGTCACCCAGGTCAGTAAAACCAATTAGTTCTCCAGTCACTTTGTCTAAGACCAGGTTTGCCATTATCTTCACTTCATCAAACAACAGGACTACGTATCGCTGCACATTGAAGTACGACTGTGTTTCTGACTTTACCTCCTCGATGACCTCTTCTTGGAACCCTCTCTGTGGTTGGATAGCATTTCTGTAGTCGCGGAGTCGCCGTTGACTTGGCAGCACAAGAACTTTACTGTTTCGCAATTCTTCATAACAGGACGGAGACTTAGCAGCCAGTGACAAACAAAAACGTATTATCATCGGGTGATATCTGACACCAGTTGCACTGCTTTTCAATAATTTTTTCTGTTGCTGCCAGAAAAGATTCATGAATGGTGTCATACCAGACGCACAGTTGCCAATTATGGAAGTGAGATCATTGCTTAGCTCATGATCAACCAGGACTGAAGAATTTTTTATTTCCTGTTTCATTTCCTCCAACTGGTGCTCAAGCTCAGAACATTTCAGCCTTTGCATCTGCAATGTAAGCTTGAGTCTTTCAGGTGCTGTGTTTGCCACAGGTGCTTTGAGGTGTGCTGGTTCGGACAGCCTCATTTGCTTTGCTTTTACTTTGAGATCACTGGCATGTGAATAGTCCATGCAAGCATCGCAGTGCTGAGATGCTGGGTTGCAGAGTAGACTACAATCAGCTGTTCGCCAGAACTGTTTCTTAGGGAAAGAGTCAAAACCACCCTCATCGTCACAATACAAGGGGTCAACAGTTCTTGGGATTACATGTGGAATTATTTGACCGCTAAATTCAATGGGTTGCACTCCAGGGCAAATAAGCTGACATTCAATTTCTCGTAATAAATCAGACACTGTCACATTGTTCATAGACCTCAGTTTCTGTGTGTACAATTGATGGTCTTCAGGTAAGAACCATCCATAAACTAAAATGGTAAATCCCAGACTGTCATCAATAATGACTTCAAATTCGGGCAGCTGAAAACAATCCTTCTTTTTTCTCAAAATGATCCTGTCACTACCTTCTTCCACTGTCCACTCACCAATGGTCTTCAATGACTTTAATCTTTTACATAGATCTGGCAGTCCCTTATAATATTTTCTGCTCTCCACCAAAGAAGGTACCTCTTTAACAATTTCCCTTGATGGTCGTGGGGGAGGTTTTGGTGTCTCGTGGCTTTTCTTGGGCATGTTTTCAGTTGGAATAGAGTCCTAAAGTGTGACGTCACGTTGCCATGGGGCTAAAATTTCTGTTCTAAACAATCGAGCGCGTCCTACTGATAACCTATGCGTTGCTGAGGTCAAGTGTGTAATCATCGCTTGGAACGGTTCAAAGAAGCTTAGCATAAGGTTCAGTTACATTGTTATTAACGCTGTAGGTCATAGAAATCTAAAACTGAGAAACGAAGGCGATCGAAACGATTAAAATGGTGCACTGCTTTGCGCCTGATTGCAACCATCACTCGGAAAGTCACACGTGTAGCTTCTTCGGATTCCCTAGCAAGGAAAAAAAGCTGAAGGAATATAGAAGATGGATTCACCTACTGAGGTTAGTAAGAGTTTTATTTCAATACTTTTTCTGTCCAGGAGAAAAGTATGCTTACGCAATTTATTGCGGTTGTGGAGTCGCCATCTTTGTTATGAAACTGATTAAGCTTATATAAATCTTACTGATTTTTAGACTCCTTTTTCTTGTACTCCAACTTCAAAATCGGTTCCCTAGAAGCCACGAGCCAACATTTGACTCAATGACGGAAATCAGTTGTGAGAGCTTTTGGTGTGGTTGTTGATACTTAATGGTCACCCTGCAGTGTTAAAACAGGCAGATAGAGAACTGTCTTCTTAATTAGAAATTTTTATAAGATAGAAGCTGCAAGATAAAAATCCTCCGCTAATAGCACAGTAATCAGAAAGAATTATAAAGCTGAAATTATCCTTTTTGCTATAGGAGAGAAGACAGAGAGCCAGGAAAACATTCCAGAGTCTGTAGTTGCCATTTCAGAGAAGGAAAAAAAAGTAATGGTCCTGAGATTTTCAAGAGGAACCAAGACAAACTTTTCCCAGCAGAAGAAAGCAAAGCCAAAAAAGAAAAAAATCGAATCACAACAGACCCTACAAGAAATGATAGAAGCTGCAAGGAAGAAAGAAGAACTTGAACAAGGCACCTCTGGCAGCGTGGAGAGACTTGAATCAACAAGAAAAGAAGTTATACTGGAAGCAGAGTTGGAGCAGGCAAAAAGGGAAATGATTGATCAAAGAGAAAAAAATTACTATGTGCAAAAACATTACACAGTTTCGAAAATGAGTGAGGAGGTTTTGAAGATGGAAACTGGGCTGCCAACAAAGGAAGTTTTTCAAATTGTTGTCAACTATGCAGCTAGGTTTAAACAATCCATCAATTACTTTGCTGGCTGGAGAGTGCAATCAATCAGTTTTGAAGAACAAATATTTATAACATTAATGAAAGTCAGACAGAATTACACAAATCTTCACCTTGCACAGTTATTCAATTGCAGTGTATCTACAATAGCAAATATTGTAACAACTTTCATTCATGTCTTACACTCAATTCTATTTATTGACCTCATGGCATCCATCCCATCTAGGGATAAGAACAAGCTGTGTGCCCCATCATCTTTTTAGTCAGTTTGGTTCATGTAGAGTAGTGATAGATTGTACAGACATAGAGATTGCCACACCTGGGCTTATGAGCCAGCAGAATGCTACGTATTCAAATTATAGGGGAATGCATTCCTTCAAGGTTATTGTGGGTGTAGCGCCAAATGGTGTTATTACTTATGTCAGCAAACTTTATCCAGGGTCAATATCTGACAAAGCAATTGTGCAGAAATCAGGATTTTTAAATCACCTTACTGCTGGAGATATGGTCTTAGCTGACAAAGGTTTTGTTATACAGGATCTTGTACCAAATGGTGTTTCAGTAAATATACCACCTTTTTTAAACAATGGTACATTCACTGAGAGTGAAGCAAGGGCAACAAAAGTTATAGCAAAATGCAGAATTCATGTTGAGAGGGCAAATGCTAGGCTCAAAGATTTCAAGATTTTATCTTTTATTCCCTCATATTTACGTTGTCATGCAGATATAATATTTCAACTCTGTGCTTCACTTGTTAATCTGCAGTTTCCACTGATCAAAGAGGGCTGTGAAAATATGAATTTGATTAATGAACTAATTATTTTTCATATAAGGAAAATTGAATACTTTGTAAAATACATGTTGATCTGTTTGTTTTATTCAAAAAGTAAATCTGCTATCATTGTTGAATTTATGGATGCATGTATAATTTCAGCCCAACAACAGTTCACTACAACAGAGCAGTACAGCTCAACTGTGAAACAATGAAGTGCAAAAACTGTAACTGTTTCTAAAGTTAGTTTGAGTAAACCAGGAGAGCCCTGTTGGGATTTGAAGATCTGTGTTCCTAAAGTTACTAGAGTGAACTTAAAAGTACACCTGAGCTCCCAATACCCTCCATCTGAAAAGCCTCCCTATCTCAAGAAATTCCACAACAACATGCCATCAGTGAAGACTAAACACCAAAGGGCTCCTAATGATTCCTGAAAATTATTATTTCTTAAAAAATAATTACATGCAGTAATAGATCTGGAAACCTATAATTGTCCCTCTACAACCTTTGGGAAGAGGTGTTCAAAATAAAACTGAGTAAGCTTAGAAATGTTTCCACTCCAGCCTTCATCCTTTGCTATTTTCAAAACAACTACATCTTTAGATGTCCACACAACAAAATAGCAAAGCTTCCTTTGAGCAAAATGTATCTCCCCTTGGACCTGATGCCAGTAGACATGTTCTTCCTTTAAAGCATACTGACCACTTTCAGTTTTTTTTTTTCAAGCAGAAATTGGGGAGATATTCACTGCCTCTTCCATTGTCATATTCCTTTCGGTGTAGGGACACTTGACCTCCAAAACAGAGTCTTCATCCACAATTCCATCTGGGGAAGCACCAAGAATCCCAGAGCCATCCAGCCATAACCCAGTTTCCTGTACAGTTTTTGCAGTTAAATTGGTAAATGCCTTAATCGCTTCTGCCTCGTTGTTTACCCCCCATTGTACTGCCTTAACTCTTGATATGTCATACTCTCCAAGGAGCCGTTTGAGAAGTGAAGGGGTCACTCTTTTGGCATGCAGAACGGATCCAAAATTGCTTGCTGTAAGCCGTCCCCTCCTTGCAAGATGCCAGGTTGGGTTGTCTCGTTGGCCTACAGTTATCTGACTGACTAACAGGATATCTGCTTCTGTGAGTTTGGCTTTCCGAACCAAACAGTCCAATTGTTGCTGTGTACCTCTTGTTTGGATAAACTCCTCTGAGTAGATGATTTCCTCAATTGTTGGCACAGGCAATTTGGCTTTGGGGAGCAGGCTCTGGGCACATGAGCCAGCAAAGACCAGTGAACCTCCCATATGCCTTTAAGCTTCCATATAGTGCCTGACGATCTTCTGTGTTGGGAGATCGAGTAATCGCCACATAATTCTTTGGCAGAGGGAACAGTTCTTCGACTGCCTGTAAAGACAGGGAGGTATTAGACGTCTTTTTCCTCCACTGACATTCAATATCTGTGCGGCTTAAGTTGTGAATCCCATTTATAAAAAAGAGCCGCGCGTGACTGCATTTGAATTTTCCCTTTGGACATTCACACTCCGTGGATTTTATGTTGAAGTGGTCATCCAGGTAAATCTAAGTGGTAATTAAGATAAAAGTTCAAACAAGGTGAACTCATAAATGTCTTGGTAACACTATTTCATATGAATCATAATCTGTACGATTTAAGCCTCAGCCTGGCTTTTTGATGAGGGAAATCGACAAGATCGAAAATATATATTTCTAAATTGGGGAGTAGATAACAAGAAGGTACTTAAAAGATATTTAAAAATATTCCTTAGGCTTTTAATGCGATTGGTGGCTCTAAACTCACCGTGACTCGATAGACCTTTTTCTTCATACTTGCTTGAACCTCACCGCGTAAAATACCCTGATGGTAAGAAAATGACTCAATGTGTTCAGATCTGTAATGATTTTCTCCTCGTTCGATTGACTTCTTTTCTTCAGCGAAGAAAGATATCAGTGCAGCGATTGAAAGCGACGCCATTTTGGCTCTGAGCACGTTTGTTTAGAACAGAAAATTCTGCTCCCATGGTAACGTGACGTAACGGCTTTAGAACTCAATGGCTCCACATTTTACCTTCTTTTTGGTCATTTTGCAGATTCAACTGAAAGAAGTCAGCGAAAAGTATAATCAAAATTACGCTTGAAATCAGTTACAAGGAATGCAGTAAAACACAGTTAGATTGAAAAGATAATTTTTTTTCTTATTAAACTTTAAAGGGCAAAAGGCACACAACTTACAGTAAAAAGTAATAAAAGAGAATAATTGGTAAATGAGAAATTTTAAGTCAAAGTAGTGAAAGCTTTCTGGCTGGACTCCACCATGGTCAAATAAAGACAGTGCACAGTTGATGAAAGTTAAATTTATATATATAAACATATGAATATAATTGAAACGTATTTTTTAAATTTTAGTCACAAAATACTTTTCAGATAGAAACTACAGGACAAAACCTCCAAATACAACAGCTCGCTGCCAAGGAAATCACTACACATAAGACAATAATTCACACATTAAGCTGCTTTTTATACGTAAACTGCTACAGCCTGTACTTATATATTTCTATCTCATCAGGTTTGAAGTGCTTCTCGCAAGTATAGACTGTGTCATTTTCTATCAGCTTCTGAAACTCAAAGTTCTTCTCACGAGTTTTCGTAATCTCGCCAAGCCAACCTTCCCTCCACTTCTTGTGAACCTCATCTTTCGCCGCTGGCAGCTTAAATATACCAAGACCTTTCGTTCTCCGGCACGATCCGCAGCCCCACACCGCACAATTTTCACCCGGCATCGCGTATAACTAATCATATACACATATATAACTAATATATACACACATATATATATATATTTATAAAATTGTTACTAGAACTCTTAGGCCAACGAAGGTGCACCGCGCCAGGAGGATCAATAAAGATTTGCAGCCCAAACCTCACAGTAAACGTGAATGGAGAGAGTAAAAAAATGCGAGGATGGACAACTTCTGACGTAAAAATGCTAAAAGATTTATTAAAACATTTCAGTCAGAGACCTTCAGTTATTTACAAGTTTTTAACTAAAAGGAGCTTTAAATAAGATCAAGGTGCTGGAGATTAAGATATAAAATCATGTGAAAGAGCAGAAAGTGGTATTAATAAAAACATGACAAAAAACAAAATCAACGAAGCGTAAAATATCGAAAAAACAAGCCACAAAGAAAATAATTGATCAGCAGGGATTTGCTAAAGCAAAGGCATAGAAAAAACCAGGAAAGATTTATTACTCGACGTTTCGGGGTCATCGTGACTCCATTATCAAGAGACTAGTTTAAAAACATGCAAATAAGGAAAGGTACAAGAATAGCATAAATTAGAATGAACGGCTTAAACAAACACCTTGGCGCGGATGGAATCCGTTTGCACGTTCAGTGTTGGCTTACGCATGCGAATATACAACATTTCATTAACAAGGCAATCAAATTTGCCGTTACATTTCGCGATGACGTTGAATTGCTCGATCAAGCGTTCAGGCATTTCACTATTGTGCTGGAGGTGGTAGTGTTTGTAGATAGAAGATGATTTCCTTGTGTGCCCTTCTACGCGCTCGTGTAAGTGACCACGAGTATAGCCCACATACCCTGCATCACACAGGTTACATTTAAATTCATAAACGATACATTGTTGGTTAACAATAGGGGGCTTAATTTCGTGTTGCTTAAGCTGTTGATCGAGCTTAGTGCTAACGAACACTCGTTGGACAGTCACGCTTAACTTCGAGCTTAGACTGTTCAGTTGTTGTTTAACATGATTAGCTGACGACTGGTCCTTGAAGGGCAACACTAATCTCACAATCTCCGATGGTACGTCTGGTGATGGACAGGGATCTGCAGATGAAATCCTTCTCTCAACGAACCGCTTAATTGTAGTTTCAACCAGTGGCTTTGGGTATTTCAAGTTATGAAAAACCCCTCTAAGGCGGTCACATTCCTCGGAGAAGAAAGACCAGTTAGAAGATAATCGATAAGCGCGATCCACCATGGTGTTAACTAGGCTGCGCTTGTACTTAATGTCAACATGACTCTGGAAATGCAGAAGGAGACCGGTGTTGGTTCTTTTGATGTAGACCTTGCTCTCAATCTTTGGTGCACGGTTAAGCAGTTCAGTTCCTAGAAAGGGAAGGGATCCTTCCCGTTCGACTTCCATGGTAAACTGGAGGGAGGGATGGGTAGAGTTAAGGGTGTCTAGAAACTGGCCAGCGGTCACCCTATCAGGCATTACGGTCAGGGTGTCGTCGACGTACCTCCGGTAATAGCGCGGAAGTTGACCGTGTTGTTCGAGGTTTTCCTCAATCGAGCACATGAAGACGTTAGCCAGCAACGGTCCAAGGGGAGAACCCATAGACAAGACCCATAATGGACAAAATATGAGATATGAAACCTAAAAACTAAAAACTAAAAAACTAAACTTGTTAAAATTAATAGCGCAACTGAAGAGTCAATATGGGAAGCATTTGGAAAGGATAGACCCACTCTTACCTACAACAATAAACCATACCAAAATCCCAAAACAAGGCCTTTGAAGCCAGAAAGGGCAAATGTAATGTTGTAATGCAAAAGTAATGTTGCCATGCATTGTTTTTGAGATGCAGTGGCTCTACATGTGCTAAATCAATATATTTACCTACAAGAGGCAAAAATTCTTGCCTGCTCTTCTTTGAAGCAATAAAACTGGTCACCTTTGAACGGAAATTCTTATCACTTAGATGTTTTGGCAAAGATTCTTTGAATTTTGAAACTGACTCTGCAATTTTCGCCCTTTCATTATAGTCCCACACTTTCCATTTGCAATTACCAATAACAAATTGGCCCTCTAGGTCCCTGTAGTCGTCAGTGCTAACTGTTGCAAAAGAGGAAAAGTAACGAGCAGAATTAGGCAGCTCCCCTGCTAGGATGGCTAGCATTTTCATGTCATTTGGCAGCTCTTGAAATTTAAATGTGACATGAAAACCATCAATAGCAAAAACCTTACCTTCAAGGTCTTTCATTTGCTTGCATGCATATTTGACATAATTTTGTACCACCCCACAGCACTCAGACTCACAATTTGCACCAAAAACTAAAAAGTTGTCAGAGCTGGATGCAACTTGCTTTCCAACATTAAGAAAACTGACAAGAAAGGAGCAAGCACTCTTGTTTTTTCCAAAGGGACACCCATCCCCACCAAACGCTACCAAAAATGTCCCTTCTGTCTCTGAAAACCACTTAAGGGCCTCATTTGATTTTTGTTTGGTCTGCAAATAAAACTTTGCAAGCCGAGGGAGATAATCCCTTAAATCCCTGAAACAGCCATGCACAACCTCATCAGCCTGAATATAATTAGAAAACTCTTCTTCGACTGAGTAAACCTTTCCAATATCTACTTGCTTGATTTAACTCACCAACTTATCATATGGTAATAGTTTGGGAATTCGGCTTTTTTGCATAAAGCACAATGCTTCTCTACCCCCTCGCTTTTTTGTACTAGCCTTTGTTGCCAAAACAAGTCTAACTGACTTATACTTTCTCTTTTCCATCACTCCCCCACTATAATATGCGGCAACACTTCGAAGAACATTTTCATCTGAAGTTTCAAGTGATCTTATTTCACGAGAGCAATGGGCTGATGCTAACCTTGCCTGGAGCTTAGCATTGCTTGAAACAAGATTGGTCGTGTCATCAGGCTTACTCCTTTTACACAAGGTATCAAACATACCCTCAATGGCAGGACGTGGGTTTTCTTCTGTTCCTCCATGGATGACCATGGCAGCATTGAAAGTCTCTTGACGACGTTTAACCGCTGTCCTTTGAGTCTGGTTTGACTTCCCATTCTGGAGTATGGTTGGATTCATCTGCCTTCTCAGGAAATTATAATTTCCACTCTGAAATGGAATAAACTGTATCAATTTTTAAGAACTGGCAGGATCATTATGCCAGCATCATGATAACGCAAAAATTAAAGTTGAATAATAATAATAATGGTTTATTAAGGACATCCACTAGGTGGCTCTTCGCCTAATATAAACTACACTATATATTACTATAAAGACAAAGATACAATACCCACACACCTCACTGTTTTCTTTTCCAGGTGTATTCAGCCCTGCCAAAAGTTCTTGACAATGCGCGTCTGCAAGATCAGTCTGATGAGCAGGAAACACAAATATCTGAGCTTTGTAGTTATTTTCGCAGAAAAAGTTTACAGCAAATTTTCAATGGATGTCAATAATAGTAAAATAAACCAACAAAAATAAATCAACAAATAAACAGATAAATCAAGATAAAAAATAAATATCAGTGACTCCATAAATATAATGGTTGCAAACTTTACTCCGAAGCCTTTTCAGCTTTCTGCAACTAACAAATATGGGTGTGCATGAAAATTAAAATAAACAAAATAATAAACAAAAATATATATATGTTATTTGCCCGCTGGGAGGTCCGTATGGTGAAAAACTGTGACCGAGGTCTTGAAAATACTGCCCGAGGCCGTAGGCCAAGGGCAGCATTTTCAAGACCGAGGTCACAGTTTTTCACCATACGGACCGACCCTTAGCCGGTAAATAACATATTTATTGTTTTTAAACTTGACGAAATTCTTTCCGAAAGAACCCGAATGACTTATGGCCGTAAATACGGCAAGATCTTCCATAAACTGAACAATTTTTGAGTGAGTAAATGGTAGTTAAAATAGAGGTGATGCAAATTTAAGAGAGATGCCTCAGCGAAACATTTTTATTTCCGTAATGATAAAGGTGATTTGAAGGGCTTCCAAACAAACTTTGAAACATTATTTTTAAAAGTATCTGTCACAATCTGACACCTGTCAATTAGAGAGCGCGCAAGAAAAAAAAAAGCTTAGGAACATTTGAAAACCAACAGAACTAGTTTGGCAAGGGCTGTCACGACAATGTTTTCTTCAAAATCAGTTAATGATCTAACGGAAAGTATTATTCACTCTCATCGACCATTCATTCATGTACGAAGATTTACCTCTGTTCATTAAGTAAACGGCAAGGAAAGTAATTGTGAGTAAATTTAATTTTTTTATTTTGAAGTTGTGAGAGTTTGCTCGTTTGTTTGCTGTAATGGCGTGTTTAACTCTGATCTTTCCTCCACAAAAATTAAATTCGAATGGCACACTCCAACGAGACACAAGGGAATGTAATGCGGCCTTTTCTCAAAAAATTCCTTCAATTTCTGTTGTGCAATTTAAGGTACAAATGTCCAAATTGACTGGAATGGGAAAGACTCACCAGGAGCGTATATTTGTTGTAGAACTTAAATTAAAACTTCGCTCGCTCTTTCACTATTAACAAATTGCTCGAGAAAATTCAGATATTAAATGAATGAAAGTTCCATCGTTCAGTTTAACTGTAACCCAATACCTCACGTTTCAACTTTCTGGGTACTTTTTGTGAACGATTAAAATTAATTGCAGACGGTTTTTAGGCCGCTTGTCAACCAACGTAATGACACTATTGTTTATACAAATTCATTCTGAAACCAATATTTTTCTGTCAACCAAAGTGATTTGATAGAGAGAAAAGAGAGGATTCATAAGTTATTTATCAGCTTGAGGTAGTGACCGACGTGTTTGCTTAAAAATACTGCCCAGCCGGAAAACGAGGTATATTTATGGAAAATGACAACGAAAGTTGGGATGTACTCGGTGACTCACGAAAGCGTTACCGTGGCCCGTGGGCAGAGATAGGATAATACTGACCGGGTAAAGAACCAATCAGATTGCAAGATTCGTTACCGTGCCCTCTAAAAAAACAATAAAAACAAATATAAATCAATAAATAAACAGATAAATCAAGATACAAAATGAATATCAGTGACCCAATAATAGTGGTTGCAGACCTTTGCCTGAAGGCTTTTCAGCTTATGGGTGTGTATGAAAAGTAAAATAAACAAAAATATAAACAAATATAAATCAACAAATAAACAGATAAATCAAGATGCAAAATGAAAATCAGTGACTTTATAATTATTGCAAACCTTTTCCTGAAGCCTTTTCAGCTTCATCTGGGTTGACTTCAATTTTCTGTTTTGAATTTTCAAATAGGAAGTAAATGACTTTGCCTGGTGACTCCTTCTCAAAAGTTTGTTATTTCAGAGATCACACCTAACCGGCACCATTTGACACTCTGTTGTAGTTTTAAATGTTCAAAATTACTTCTACCCTTGCCTTTGATATTGTCAGATAGTTTCCTTTTCATACCAGTACAGCAAGATATCAGTTCTGTCCACCTTGGGCATGTTTTTATTCCAGGATACTTGTGTTGATCTTGCTAGGTAATAAGGAAAAACTTCTTCAGAGCAATTTCTTCTCAATCTTGGGGCAACCCAAAAAGGAAAAGCCTTGAAAACATAGGAATAAATAGGACAATAAAATAGCAAATGTACTAAACAAGAATTTTCGGAAAACGTACAAACGGGGATTACTCAAAACCTCGGTTGAGAAAGTCGGTTATGGTAAGAACAGAAACTCGTCACGACATTTCTTGCAAAAACATGGAGATCTAAAATTTTAGAATCACAAGCAAGTCTGGAATGAATGGATTCAACAGGGAAGTTCTGATAGAGGTTTTGGTTCCCACATTTGAAGACTTTTATTTGTATGAATTGTTCTAACACCCTCATTGACAGTTTCAAAATGAGATGGTGCTAATAATTCTCTGAGATTTTTTGATCAATGAAAAGATGGTATGATAGAACCTTAAGGAAAAAGTTCTTTTAATTTGGGGTTGTATTGTAGAATGAGCAAATGCTTTCTGATTATGTTACCTATGTCAGGTTAATTTGGATTAAATGTAATAACAAATGGAAATAATTTCTTCGTTACTTTTCCACGATTCCTAAGTAGATCATTTCTAAGAATGGTGAAGGGTTTGAAGAACTCCAAAACTAATTTAGAGGGTTAGCCCTGGTTAAGAAGGTACTCTTTGTACTCAGCCATTCTCTTGGCAGGAAAAACTTCTTCAGAGCAATTTCTTCTCAATCTTGTGGCAACTCCAAAAGGAAAAGCCTTGAAAACATGCTGTGACAATAAAAGGTTTTTGCGTACTAAACTGGAATTTTCGGAAAACGTACAAACGGGGGGAATTAACTCGGTTGAGACCACTCGGCTTGCAAGAACAGAAACTCGTCACGATTTCCTGGCACATGGAGATCTACTTCGAGTGAGCTTGTATGGACATCAGGGAAGAGACAGCGTTTTGGTTCCACAGTAGACTTTTATTTGTAGAGCACTCTAACACACAACATGCTAGAGTCAAAACTAAAACTGTAATCATCAAAACTGTACAAGGTACTTGCTTAAGAACTAACTGGTGTGAGGTGCTATTGTTACACAAGTCGCAATATTTGAATAGGGACACAAAGGAGCAGAAAAGGTCTCTGTGAAGTTAAACGAAAACTACTTAAATATTCCATCTGTTTCTACGACGGAAAGAGTTTCAAAATTAAAAAGACGGATGCAATAAACTCGAGGCCATTAAAGTAGGGAACTTAGGTGCGAATTCACAGCTCTGGTATAAAAAATAATACCTATCTTGATTACAGCAGAGCAGCTTCGGAAATAAAAACGGAAAAGCAATTAAAAGTTTTTGTTTATCTATGCAAGGTTGGTGTGGAAACTATCATATGAAAAGAAGTTAAAGTTACGAGTATAAATTCAGCTGCTAACTACCATGAAAACCAATTTTTCCAGAAAGACCATTAACACCTATATTTACCTAAAAAACCATGTAATAAATAACAAAAGTGCCAACAAGCAGGTGCATACGATGAAAGTGAGTAACAACAAAAATCTATTCAAAAGCTACTGGTTTTTTTACATTTTTTTTAACTTACTAGAAGGAAAACCCGAAAAACCAATATTTCAAATGCGAAAGTACGCGGATACATATGTAAGATGTTTGCCCAAAAAACCATGAAAACCCTTAATATTATATTTTATGATATACATTATCAATTCAATTGCTCTGGTTATAATTTTACAATGATAGCAACAATTTGAATAGAACAACCTGTTCATCATCCTTTCCTGTTTAACCGGTCGAGTGAAAGAACAAACAGAACACAAGAACTAGGTTGAAACCTGGGAAAATAAACTTGAAATGCGTGGGCATAAAATACTAAAAATTTGTTGGAACTAAACACATAATTTTTCCCCTAATAATGCTTAGGATGGCAGCTACAAGGTGGAGGATGTAAGTGACTATCTGTAAGTTTGGAATAGACGTCTGTCCTAATAAATCCATCGTTAAGATGTAAAGTAAGATCAAGTACGTTAAGCTCATGCTCAGAAAAAACTAACTCAAATTTAATAGTAGGGTACAGAGAATTAATGTAATCAGTAAATTGATGTAGGGCAGGAAGGTCTTGCTGCCAAAGATCAAATTCATGGTCTCTATATCGCCACCATAAAGACGGCTTTATCGGACCAGAAAACTTAGCTAAAAACTAAGCATTTTTGGGACCCATAACTGTGCCATGGATTTGAAGAAAGAAATTCTCTTTAAAAACAGAATGGTTGCTTTTCAAACAAATTTTTATAGCTTCTAAAATACAAGTTGTGGATGGAAATATGTTTTCTCTAGCATTCAAAGCCTTCCTGAATGCAAAGAGGCCGAGTTTGTTGTCAATGTTAGGAAACATTGAAACCATGTCCCACGAGACCAGTAAGGTGCCAGTTGGAAAGGGACCACTTGTGTTAAGATGTTCTATTTTGTTAAGAAGATCAGTGGTGTCCTTAATAAACGATGGTAATTTTTGAGCAAGTGGTTGTAAATAAAATTCAGTAAAGGCTGATAAGTTTTCCATTTGCCATGCCACAACAAGATGTAATAAGTCTGAGCGGGTTGCCCGTTTTGTGTATTTTGATGTTTCCAAACGCAACTCCTGGTCTCACTTCTTTATTTAAGGCTACGTTGACACAGTGTTAGACGAATTTTCGACGGGCCGAAAATTTGTGCGTTTAGGCATTTCGTTCACAAGGAAGCATGCCAAACGTATGAAAATTTGGACGCTCAAGCATTCAAAAATTTGAACACCAAAATCAAGGACAAATTTTTAGCTGGTGCAGTCAACTATTTGACCGCCGTGGTGTGAGCACCTATCACGTCCGAATTTTTATATGGTGAAGGAGTGGCTGCATGGATGCGTGGTAACTAAGTTAAATAACAATAAAGGGGTAAGTTTCTAAAGAAACTGTGGTGCTGTGTCGGTGGGAGAGTATAGCAGGTAATTAAGTGTTAACAACTGGGTTGAAAACGTAAATTAGCCACCGTAAAGGGTAAAAAAGCTGACGTTTCGAGCGTTAGCCCTTCGTCAGAGCAATAGACGAAGGGCTAATGCTCGAAACGTCAGCTTTTTTACCCTTTACGGTGGCTAATTTACGTTTTCAACCCAGTTGTTAACACTAAATTACCTGCTAAGTTAAATAACATGTTAACAATTTTATACAAAGGTGGAACATGTTGGTTTATTGATTGCGGTGCTGGTAATATTACAGCTTTGGTACATAATATCATCTTACAAATGTGTAGGACATGCCAAGCTTACCACGCATGTAGGTGACGTTGTGTTGGTATCTTGTTAATGTCAGAAAATCAAGTTAATCATTGCTCGTCCATCTGTAAATTGAAGACGTCGAAGCAGGGAAAACACTGGATTAGATCTGGGTGGACATCACTTTGGAGGGACAATTTTGTCAACAATACTGTCGTGTTGGATGAGTGGCGTGAAAACAGAAACAATCTCCAAACATGAGATCTGCAATTGATGTTGAGAAGCAGTTAGCTGTAACTTTGTACTATTTATCAGACGAGGGGAGATACCACAAGGTTGCTAATGCATTCGGCATCAGAAAATCAACTGTCTGAAACTGTTTGAAGAGTTTGCAGATGCATTTCAATTATCCCTGGGCCTGATTACATTAGATTACCAAAATGAGAAGAAGAAGTGTATGACGCAGTAGCCAATTTTTATGATGCTCATGGCTTTCCACAATGCATAGGAGCTGTTGATGGAACACGTGTATTTATTAAACAACCCTTAGAAAATGCAACTGCTTACATTAACCGGAAAAACAGATACTCATTAAACGTGCCAGCCAGCTGTGATTACAGATACTGTTTCACTGACGTCGTGATAAAATGGCTGGGTAGTGACTCCACAACTCCAGAATTTTCTGTAATTCTAAAATCAATGAAATGTTAAGAAATGACTCTATCCCATCTTTACCAAGGGTTCTAGTGCCTGACACTGATCCTGTTCCGATTTGTGTGCTTGGGGATCCAGCATACCCACTATTGCTTTAGCGGGGGTAATACATCACAAGAGCAGTTCTTTGGGTGGCACCTTTGTTCTGCACGCATGGTCATCAAATGCTTAGGGAGCACTGAAACGTGAGATGGACATAACTCTCAATGATTTATGTCATGTTATACATTCATGCTTTATTCTACACAACTACTGTGAGGTGAATGGTGATCATATATCCAATGAGGCTATTGACAAAACAATTAAGTATGACACGGAGTTTTAACCTGGCACTACAGCTACTAGGAATCAAGGTACAATGGCTACTAGGAGTAAACAGATTCGTAAAGTTTTTGTGGAATATTTCAACTAACAATGCTGCCAATCCAAATTGGCCAATTGCAAAGAATTTTCAAATAGGAAGTAAATGACTTTGCCTGGTGACTCCTTCTCAAAAGTTTGTTATTTCAGAGATCACACCTAACCGGCACCATTTGACACTCTGTTGTAGTTTTAAATGTTCAAAATTACTTCTACCCTTGCCTTTGATATTGTCAGATAGTTTCCTTTTCATACCAGTACAGCAAGATATCAGTTCTGTCCACCTTGGGCATGTTTTTATTCCAGGATACTTGTGTTGATCTTGCTAGGTAATAAAATAAAGATGAAAAACATTCTTGTGATTGAATGTTATTCAACAAGCATGAACCTTATGAAGTTAGAAAGTTAGTACTTACAAACATGACACTCAACAACTATTAATGGCAACAAGTAACATAGAAGAAATTTAACCAATTATATTGATGAAATTGTTACTGGTACAGTATAATGCACACAAAAACTGAAAATCTCTGAGGTAAATAGTGCAATAACAAGGTAAGCCTACCCATGTCTTTCTGCCTAGTGAGCAGGCAAACTGGCAGTGCATATAATAAACACAACTCAACTTTGTTAACAGAGTGCTAAAACAGTGCACAATCCAACAGTTAAGAGTAGACACAATGTGAATGTTAATGTTTAACACTTATTAAAATGAGAAGGATCCTGTAAATGCCAAACACCTGACATGTTGCTTTGCTGTTGCTGATATTGGGGATGGTTGTACTAACCCTAAGATGCTGGTTCTGCTGCATCATCATCCCCAGCATGTTGAATCCATTCTGCAATGTGGAGCTTAAAGAATGTAAACTAGCGGTAAAACTTTGCATACTTTCCATGTATTTTTCTTCTGACTTTTCAAGCTAATCGATCATTCTCTTTTTCAACTGGAGTTCTTCATGTCCAAGGGCTAACATTCTCTTTTCTGTTGCGGTTTTCGTCGTAAGCTTGGAATTTTTTTCCTTTTTTAGCTTAGAAATTAAGTTTCTTCTTGCATCAACAGTTTTTTCAACTGCATCCTTGGCACTTTCATCCCAGGTTGTCACACCAGTGCTATCCTCCCTTGCAGGGTCATTTGCTGCGAAAGGTAGTAGCCCCAATTCACTTTCGTCAGGTTTACCATCACTGGGTATCTCTTCCGCTGTCTCAATACCATTATCCATAGCTTCGACAGCCGGACATCCAGTCCATAGTTCAGCGCATTTGTCAAATAGTATTGTTACCACTCTTCCACCTCCGCTTCATCTTCCAGAATCTACAACTTTCTGATAACCGAACTTTATCCTCTTCAACTTTGCATTTATCTTTTCTTTGGAGAATATGCCAGTATCCTTACAGTTTGGAAACTGTGCTGGGTCTACTTCGAATTCATCGTTGTTTGAATATCTTTCAATGGAAAGTTCTTGTAATTCCTCATACCTGGTTCATATCGATTCCCATTCTTGATGTTTTCTCATTTTTATATGATAAAGCAACATTAAGCAGTAGTGCTGTCTCCTCATCCATCCAAGTGAAATACTCATTATCCATGCTACCATCCAAATTGGCTTTTCTCTTTCTGGAAGCCATTTTGCATTTGGTTAAAGAAATGTTGTGTGCATGAGGAGATGGTAAAACCACCGACAAGTGTCACAAACTTCATCCGGTTATCAGTTCCATCTGAACTGAAGGAAACTTTCGCACAGTTCCGTGTGAACAGAATGTCCGGTTGAAATTTTCGGCCGGTCAGAAATTTGTTTGGCATTGTGTGGATGTAGCCTAAAACCCGCTTAGCTACTTTGGGAGAAATCTCACCCTTTCCATGCCATTTGGAACACCAACTCTCCACTAATGCCAAATGTTTAGAGGTTGGATCCGATTGCAAAGATTTATAATGTAACTGGTTGTTGAGCTGACCAAACATTTTTTCCTCGTACTCCTTTTCATCAATTTATACAAATCAGGGGCCTTTGTCCTATATACGAATCACTACAATATAATTTTTAAGTTCTTTAAGCACAGCCTGTTCTTTTTTAGAAAGGTTATCACTAGCTTGCCTAATGTTCTCATGATTAATAAGATCATGTTATCCATTAGCTAAAAGTAATTCAAGTTCAGGGTACCTTGACATTAGAGGTTTTCATTTACAATCCTTTGGAACCCAAGGTAGGTGGCTAGGAACTGCCAAGTTGTTATCAGGATAGTTGTCAACGAAGAAAGCTGCTGTTCGTAGTCAAGTTTCAAATACTTTCAAGTCATCATATATGCTCTGTCAATTGATGTCCTTAGGCGTTGGGCAAAACAATGATCCTTTCCTCAGCAATTTGACCTGATCTGCATCCATGGACATACTCGAAAGGTTAACAGGGTCCAACTGGTGTAGCTGATCCAATTGAGGGTGTTGGGCAATCTGCGTTTTTGGTGGAAATGCTGACGTTTCCTTAAGAGCCTGCTCCACCTGTTGTAGCATCGACTGCTTCTGGTTGTGGGTGGATTATCTGTCACAGTGGCATTGGGTAAATTCAATCCAGGATCGAGAGGAATAGTCTTAAGCCACTAGCATTTTTCCCTTCCTTTCAGGGTGTGGAGTAGAGTGGCGTTTTCACTCTTAACCCGTTCCCGTCCAAGGGTGACAGAGTGTAATACTACCCCATCTACCCAAGGCAAGGGAACCAAAATCAACACAAAGTAACACTACAAATTTTAATCAATATATCAGAAACTACTCATTTATTCAAGAAACAATGCAAAGAAACTTTGTTCCTAAGATAATAAACTTTCCAATACTGTCAAAAATATTTTCTTTTATGCATGCATTTAGCAAATATTAAGAGCTCAAATTGAGTAAATAGAAATCTCAACCATCCATGTTGCTCATGAACTCATCCATGTCTCACAGAAAATTGTTACATTTAAGGACAAACTACATCTAACTAATCTATTGAATGGAGAAAATAGGTGATAGAGAATTATTAGTGCTATCTTGGACTGACTTGGTGGTCAATTCTTCAAAAATTCGTCACAAAAAAAATCATCACAAAAAATCAGAATTTTTACAAGCTCGAGTTTTTGAATTTCGTGCCAATGTTCAAGCGAGATTGTTCACAGTATGGTTCTTAAAACAGTCTAAACAAATGCGTTTGTGCAAAGTTCACACTCCATTCGGCACCACATTTCCTTGTTTCGCTTTAAACAGCACTTACAGTGACCTTTAGAGAACTTGATGGGCCAATACCCTCCTTCTAGGTGCCCAGAACTTGCAGACAATCACTGTGCCAAAAAATTTCCAATAAGTAACTTCACAAGATCTAAACGAAAGGCTAGTTGGGTTCTTGATCAGTGATGCGGGGACAGTTTCTCCAAAATATAAGCATTTACAATGGCAACATCAACAAAGAACCACATGAGACAACGCCACCACTTTTTCGATTTTCTTCCAGCCATGTAGTAGCCCCATGTCTGATCGTTCAAGTCTACACTGCCCATGTTGTTGTCGGGATCGGACTGAGAGCTCAAAAAATATATTGGCTTCTTATCTTTCCATACAGTAACAACAATGTTCTCTTTACGAAGGAACAACGACTCTCCTTGACAAAGTCGCTTGACTCTTTGAGTCGAAGGGGCAATTGCACAGGGGATACCTTGTCGATTTCCACGGACGGTTCCACAGACATAAATTTGATCTTGAAGCAAATCTTCCGCAAGAGCAAGAGAATTGAAAAAATTATCGACAAAAACATGGTGATTTTTGCCTACCAAGGATCGAGTAAGATTGCGGACATGGCATGTATTGTTTAAGGGAAAGTCTTCCTTTAAAAGGAATCATTGCCTCATTGATCGAAATATTTTTCGACAGCCTGTACTCGCTTTTAATAGCCTCTACAACAGAATCGAGAAGAGGTTGCACTTTGAACAATTTGTTGTGGTTTGCGTACCCACGTGGCAATTCTCTTCTCTTATTGTTTAGATGAAGATATTGTGATATTTTGGCAAATGGTTCCTTGGAAAAATCTTTTGCACTTCTGGGAAGTGGTTTTTCGGTATCAATTTCACACCAAGCAAGGTCTGGTTTTGTTACCATAGCTTGCCATGCATAACAATTCGTTTCATCTGCAATTCTGTCAAAATTGCTGTCCTTAAACATTAGATTAAAAAATTTTATGGTCAAATAACCTTGAACGTCCCTGACCAGGCTGGTATTCGCGACGAACGGATTAACAACAACTGGACCAGGATCCTCGTTCCACTCTTGTTCATCTTCTTTGCCACTTTCCTGATCGCTAAGATTGAGATCTGGCAAATCCTCCATGTCAACTGACGAAACAGAAATGTCAGATTCTGACTTGTGATTATTTCTTTCAAACTCCGGTTCAATAGTGAAGCCAATGAACTCTTCTTCCTCGCTATCTGAATTGAAAAGTGCTGCCATTTTAAAACTTCACAAACAAATTTCAACTCGCAATTTCTCAATAAATTCATATGAACACCACCCCTGAAAGTTGGCTTTGGTACACACGTGTGCCGTATGGCACGGTCGGACAGGAAAGGGTTAAGACCATTCCATAGAAAAAGAGCTGAGTCTATGCTTAGTCTCGAAAATAGCTGTTGCCTGTGAAGTCTGAGCTCCTGTTGAAGAAGGTTAACTTTCTGTTGGGAAACTTGGAGTACCGCATCGCAAATGTCCTTTAATGTGTGTTGAAGAAAGTTTTTGCTTGTGTTGTGCGCGTCTTCACTGCCACGTACTCATGCTAATACTTGTGCTGTAGACACCCCTATTACCGTTTTGCTTATGCTTGCACTTATGTCTCAGTGAAAAATGGTTTTAACGCCCACAGGTTCGTTCCAAACCTAGATGTTTTCAGTTGATCGAAGAAAATAAGAGGGAAAGTTGATCGTAGTAATTTGATCAGAACAAACAATTTATAATCACAGTATTGAGTCAAATAACTCTGCATTAGGGGAATGAGGACGGTGACACTTTTTTTTTTCGTAAGGGGTCAAGGTGAATCTAAGCCAAAGAGAAGTCGCCGAACAAAAGATTTAAGTGAGCAGTCAGTTTTGCTTGCACTTAAGATATACAAACAACATGAAATAAAAATTCTAAGCGCTATTTTACAGAGTAACTTTAAAGGTTTTAAATTCTCCAAGCATATCCAAACATATCCAAACATAACAACAGGCAAAGACCAAACCACAACACTGCGAACTCTGTGTCCTATATGCTATGATATGGGTGCTTGCAAGTGTGTACTAAATTGAGGGTAGTTCACTGATTCGCCTGCTTAAAAAAACAGTCAAAAGCTCAACAAGCCCTTGATTCTGTTTGAAAATAAGCGCTGTTACAGCTGCGTTTCAACTACAGTAAAGGTTTCTGTATCCACTGTTGTCCATTTTAAACAGTGACGCTTAAACGAGTGAATACTTCTATATCGAGCGCTTTTTAACTAAGATCGATGAACGATTTTCTGTCTTAGAACTCAAGAGTGGGCTTCAGTGATCTCTTTCTCTAAATGATTAAGTTGATGAAAAATCAACTAGCGCTTGAAGCATGGATTATCAGCTCAGTGATCAGTACAAAAAAATACTACAGCAACAAAAAATAAGAACAATAACAATACTTTTATTGAGAAGCTCTCGTCATATAGACAATCATATTAACTTAAACTGATCAATTACCTCTTTCATGGATGTGAAAATAAGAACTAAGATACTATCTGAATCTCATTAAACCCTTTCCACCATACATTAATTCAACGATTAAACCATCCAATGATTAACGTCAATCAAATTAAAACTGCCGATAGAAAATCCATTTACTTCTGTTAATCAATTATACAGTCCTTAGTGCTCCTTAAGGTGATCATGATTCCTCAGAAATAAAAGATTCCGAAAGATGTTTTTAAAACGCAATAAAAAGGATAGGTCGCAATTCTCTCAAAAAGAGATACGATGAACCAAACTTGCCTACGTCATTCCCTCGGTTCGAGTTACATTTTGCGTTAGCTGGAAGCAATGATTTTTAAGGAAATACTTCCGCAACAGTGTAATATATAGTTTACGGGAAAAAAATACACCATTTTCAACTACCTCGACTGAAAACGTACGTTCCAGGAGTCGTTGTCTCGAAGTCATAATTTCCATCCTCGAGTGAAGGTTCCCTGCACGCTTTTAGCTTTATCCTTTTTTTTTCCTTCTGAAGAATTATTTGTTTATATTCTTCAACTTAACGATAATCATTTTGTGCAGTTAACCTAGCAATGAAAAATATAGGTCACCATGCTCTTTTAAGAGAGAACGAGCATTTAGGTGCACGCGCTCATTTGCGCGCGCGAACCTAACACTCGAACGGAACGCTATAATTGAAGTATACTTTATATTATAT